AGACACAGATTTCTTCCTGAACGCATTCTATTGCATGGCCAATTGGAGATAGCCTGTGAACGCAGGCGTATTTCCGGCTGTCACTTGGTTCTGGCGAAAAATAATGTTTCAGAACCTAAGCCAGGAATCGATTTCTGTGACATAATGACTTTTGTTTCTCCTAAGCCAATCAGATTCCATGATAGAATGAAACTCGAGTGCTTCTCACAGTGAATACCTAAACTGTGATTGGCTTAGAATTCCTATGAAATCAGCAGCTAACAAAGGAATCAAGTGGAGTGTCAATCCACCATGGGCACCTCACTTAGGTGGGGTGCATGAGACAATGATCAAATCAGTAAAGAGATCAACCTATGCGATATTGGGAACTGCAGATGTGACCAATGAAGAACTGATGACAGCATTTATGGATGCAGAGGCACTCATAAATTCCAGGCCTTTAACATGTCGGTCTGCCAATCCCTCAGATGACACACCCATCGCCCCAAATCATTTCCTGATTGGACAAGTAGGAGGCCCGTTCGCTCCTGGATCAGTTGATAGTGGCCAGTTCAGTCCCAAGAGATGGAGACGGGTGTGAGAACTAGTGCAACATTTTTGGCACCGGTGGCTGTGAGAGTGGTTACCAACTTTGAATCGTAGGTCCAAGTGGTGGAAAAAAAAGATGTCCAAGTTAATGATGTAGTCTTGTTAGTGGCACCAGTCACACTGCATGGGCAGTGGCTGTAGCAGTCTTTCCAGGAAAGGACAAGTGTGTTGAGAGCTGTCAAAGTCAGAGTTGGCAGTGAGGAATTGTGATTACCAGAATCTGAGCCCATTAGAACTCCTTACAGAAGATGACACAAGAATAGAACAATAGCGAACTTAAAGAGAACTAGAACTATAGTGAACCTTTAAGCTAGAAACACACGAAACTCCTTTTGATGTGGATGAGCCACTGGCCCATCGAGAAGGGGGAGTATGATTTTATTGTATTCGAAGTGCAAATACTTAGGTCACGTGACTTTGAACGCTTAGTGGGTGTTTTGTGACCACATGGAGATGTTGTTTACTAGTTTTTAGGGTCATAATTCATTGTAGAGATTGCTGTTCATTTCAAGTTCGAACAAGAAGATCTTTCAGATCTTATAACCGCACTTTTAAAATTTACCTGTTTTCTTAGCACTACAGTTGCAGTGCAGTGCACATTCCAAAGCAGTCCTTGATGATTCATTGATTACTGTAGACACCACATCACTTGATCAACACAAACTGTATTATTGCACCATCAGTTGTAGTCGTTGTGAAATCTGCGATGTTGTAGTGGTCTTAATCTGCAACTGTCCGCCCGAAATGTATGGGCATGAACGATATGAACGATACGATAATACTATTAAATTTAATTGTTTTTTTTTCCATGAGTAAAGAGCTAGCAAGGTAGTCACACGAGTCACATAATTCAAGAATTATGTTATCCATGGCTATCTTTAGTACGGTGGTTATTTTCCTACCAGTGATGTAATCCTTGTACATTCTGGCACGTTCTTTGCTTGGCTTCCAAATATTTAATTTTCCTTCTGATCTCTGAATTCGCTGCAATGAAACAGCCAAAGAATTCACTTGATTTGCCTAAACCCACAAGAAATACTCGCAGAATTGCAAATAAGTTAACGACGGTTGCTTCTGGCGAAATAAATAAATTATTTTGCAAAGTAAACAAGATCTTATTTGTCATGTAGCGAAAATGAAAGCTGCAACATCAGTGCATTCCTTGGCTGACGTAGTACCCTTTTTAAGCGTTTTTAGCGTATTTATTATTTCCCTTCAAATCCAACGCTTCAATAAAACCAAAAGAGAATATATTTTACACACAAATAAAGAAAACATATCCGTAACATTGTCCTTGTATTAATGTTTCAACAGCTTTTGGCGAATAAACATCACAGGTTGCGTTATTCAAAATTTGGCCGAGAGGAAGTTTGGGTCTGGTTGCCAACAAAAAAAAAATAAACCACAGGTAGAACACGAACCGCGCTCGGCCCATGGCCGCACAGTTAATAAATGGTTTAACTCAGAACCACTAACATCAAGCTGGTTATCCAGAGACATTTACCAGACTGTATTGTCGATTAGCGCTAATTGTATGTCCCCCAAAATATAACAACATGCAATAACATGTGCATTAAGGCATTTCTTGTAACGTCTGTTTACAGCATGTTTCAGCAGTTATTGACTTCCATGGGAAGTTAAACTTAGGCACGTTTAAGTGCTATATATGCTGTTCAATGTAAGTGGTAATCATTCCCTGAAGAAGTCTCAGACAGAGAGAAAATGCATTGGAAATACACGAAAAGGATTACAACTACAAGAAGTCTTCTTTTGTGCTGGTCATTAATCTTCGTTAAAAAATTAAAAAAATTGAAAAAAATTAAAAAATTCCAATACCCTTCCAAGGAGATGGGCTCAGAGGGTAGATCGTAGAGTGTAGGTCAAGGTGAGAAGCTGGTAGAACATAGAGAGTAGAGCGTAGATGGGCTTAGAGGATACATGGTAGATGGTACAGTTATATATCTACAACTACTTTAGCACATCTGTGTAAATAGTATGTATTTTGGGGGCCATACGATTAGCGTTAATCGTATGCCCCCCGAAATATACGAAAAGGAAATACACAAAATTTTGTTCCTTTAATGAAATCTACTGGTTTTCCCAATTGCTTCAGTGATAAAATTATCGCAATTGAATAAGTCCCTGACTTTCTACAGGCGTTTTAAGTTGTATTTCTGTGGCCACGACCGAGCAAAGTGGGATCAGGATTAGGCTTCTAGTGACATCATTGGAGGAACTGGGCTGAAACACTCAAAAGACGTTTATCTGGGCTTTCAGTGCTGTCAAAACATGTTTAGAGTATTTGTGCTTCATATTTGATCCAATGTGGCAATACAATTTGGAGTCTAGCTACAATTAGGATGGTTACGATGTTTTTTTTTTCCACTTTGAAGTACGGGCTGCCAGTCATGCCCGCCACGCTGCAAGTCAGGATTGACAATTTGCTGGCCCATTCAGCTTGTAAAGGTTAAAACAATGGCTGAAGAGCTGAAGTTACAGCTGAAGTTACAGCTACAGTGTATTGAAGAGTTATAAAGAATTTTTGTCAATAAACACAAAGAGTAGTAATATGACTTTGACTTAACATGCAGATTTTGTAGTGTTAGAACATTTCAGTCTAGATTCAAATATTTCCCTGATTCCCCTCATTTTCCCGGCAATGCAAGCTTCAAATGTGATGGAGTTAAAGTCCAGTCCTGCCCACTGTTACAGATCTACCGATGGTTGAAAATAAAAGATATGCAGGTAAACTCCCAGGGCAAAGTGAAACTCTCGTCTAAATTCCCTAACACCACTAAACCCTTGTGAAACAACAACAGAAAACATGTCACAGTATTTGCTATTGTGCGCTAAACTGGAGGCTGCATGGCGAGAACACCAAGATTACTAATCTACATACATCACTTCTTTAAATACTCTTACTGAACCCTTGATAGTTCATATCGATGAGAGCATATTTTTCTGCTAATCATTCAAAAACATGGAAAAAATTTGTCTCTTCACTTTGTTTCACAAATTTGCATTTTTCGTATTAGTAATGAAAAATCCTTCAACAAGATTTTGGCAGAAGGTTCAATATGGGATCAGTTATATGAATACATTTCTCCTGCACTGCTCTTTTGTTTTAAAAGTCCTTTTTTATGTACGCTAATCACCCGAGTGTTGTGTTTTAGTTGAAGAGTTGGAGGCTGCATGGTGAGAACACCAAGATGACTAATCTACATACAACACTTCTTTAAATACTCTAACTGAACCCTTGATAGTTCGTATTGATGAGAGCATATTTTTCTGCTAATCATTCAAAAACATGGGAAAATTTGTCTCTTCACTTCGTTTCACAAATTTGCATTTTTTGTACTAGGAATGAAAAATCCTTCGACAAGATTTTGGTAGAAGGTTCAATATGGTATCAGTTAAATGAATACATTTCTCCTGCACTGTTCTTTTGTTTTAAAAGTCTTTTTTTTATGTATGCTAATCACCCGAGTGTTGTGTTTTAGTTGAAAACAAGCGCAATCTCCTTTCAGTGCTACAATTTCTGTTGGTAAAGGCGAATCTAAATGGTTTGTTTTACTTTCCTTGTATACTTATCAATACTTGATAAACTTGATAAGCTTGCTGTATTGCTACTCCCTGCAATAACACATCTTGCATTCTGCAATGATTTTGAATCACATTATCGCATGTTCACACATATTCTTCTCAGGAGCCAAACATTGTTACTCCTTTGATGATGTCACGGGCCAACTTGTCCCATTCTTCGTGCTTCCTTGGTTGTGGTCGTGGAAAAGGCCAATTTTACACACTTTTAAAATTTATAGAAAATTTATGAAAATAGCTACAACAATAATTTTTGCAGTGATGATCAAAAAACAAGGATATTTATAAAACTGAAAAACAATTTTGGGGTTAGCTGCACTTGAAAATAATTTAATGTTCTTTTTGTTCTATTTGATTGATATTTTTATTTATTTACTATTGTTAGTGGTTGAAGTACATGCATGTGATTTCCTAATGTGTATGTTGCAAAAATAAATATTTCCTCTCAGAACTGTAGTAGTTGGCCATAAATTTAACAATAGTCACCAGAAATCCTTCAATAACAGCTTGATTATAGTTTTGTGGCTATATGTACATGAATGCATACTTTTATTTATTTGTTTCACTTACATACATTCCTCTCGGTACTTTTTCTTCCATGAACAGGAGTCAGAATACTCTTAATACTCACACAAAATCTAATTAATTTACTGATTGTAATCACTTAATATTACTGATGATCATAAAACATGCCATTATCATAAACAATTTTGTTTAGGACCATTTCCTTTGTTTGTAATAACTGCTCAACCATTAAATTGTAACCAGTATTGAAAATGATGCATAGGTCTCAATTTAATATCAATAAATGTTTTCCTACCTTTTAAAAATACAAATATGTTTTCCTTGCTAGGGATGTGTCAGATGTGACAGGTGCTCCTGAGATGTTAGGAGGAAGGGTGAAGACCCTCCATCCTGCTGTTCACGGAGGTACAAGTTATGATAAGAGAAGGCACACAGACAAATGTACTGACTGATAGACAGACACATACACAGCTGAATAACTTTGCATGCATGTAGATCATCTTATTTATGTTTTTTTTGCTACCATATTGCAAACAAACAGGTCCTCAAGCAAGTGAGCAATATGGTATTAATGAGCAGTTCCGAATGGAAAGTACAAAGTCAGCAAGCTTCACTTAATGGCAGCAATAAGGCTAATACCTATAGTGCTGCATGATAATAAATAGGTGAATGGCATAAAGATTGTGTTCATGAAAAATATTGACTTGGATATAAACGTTCTCCAAAAGTACATAATTTTGTGCTATCCAACTGTTTTGTCGATTTGTTGAGAACTCAAAAGTCAGTTGAATAGCTTATATAAGTAACACTATTAAAACAATTCCTCTAGAAGAGAATGCTGATTTTAATAAGCAATACGTTTGGTTGAACTAGCAATATTTCCATACCGTAGACGAGAAAGTCCATTTTAAACTTGTTCACAGTGTTCCGTAGCCTTGTTTTGGGAAGGCCTTTGATTCAGACCTTCTTGCAACCTGAAAGACGATATCATTGCTTCTAAGTCATTATCACCCTCTTTTTTTCTTTAGTACTTCTTCAAACTGTGCTAAGAACCTGATGCATTTTGCCAAAAAATCCAAAGAAAACTTAAGTGTTATTTCTGGTGTTTCCAGTTATGAATGCAATACCCAGGATGTAATAGAAAGTTTTAAATGGAAACAAGGGTCTTAGCAATATACTAACTTACTGAGGAAAGTTTGAATAACAACAAGGGCTTTCTTAAGTACCAAGGAAAGTTTTGAATAGAAACAAGGGTTGTACTAACGTACTAAGGATAGTTTTGAATTGAAATAAGGGTCATACTATCGTACTATCTTAAAGAAGAAAGAAAGCTTTGAAGCAGGGGTTGTATTTTTGTACTAACATAGTAAGGAAAGCTTTGAGCAGAAAGAAGGGTTGAAGTAAAGTACTAACGCACTAAGGAACCGAGAAGTAAATTTGGTGAAATATGCAGCCATCCTAATGTACTAACATACAGAGGAGAGTGAATTTGATGAAATGAGCAGTCGTGCTTAGGTACTTACTCAAGGAAAGTAAATTTGGTGATGCGATCATACTAAAGTACTGTAATAAGGAAAGTATTGAATTCCCTATTACTAGCATTCTAAGGAAAGTGGGAATATTGGTACACACCATTTTTGTGTAGCTTGCTTGATATGGTGGTGAGAATTAAATTTTGCTGATTGCTAATTTTTTTTTTTTGGTTGGCTTCAAGTTTTTGCTGATTGTAGCAGCTCTGTTCGGAATCTAACTGTGTGTGCGTTTTATGTGGAATCTCAAAATAAGTGTTACAGACTTTTCTGTTATCATTAAATTTTAATGATTCTAACTCATGTTTTGGGTGTGTGGATATGGGAAATTATATACCGGCATTCAGTATACTACAGATACAGATTACGATCACACTAAATATTTAAGAGTGTTATATTGTTTTAAACGTGATCAATAGCAGAAATTTATCTGTCTAAAATAGTCTCAGATAACTTTGCTTTCTACTTACTCTTTCTGTTTGATTGTAAAAAATGAAAATTTAACATGTACAGTGTACAGTTACAGATAATAATTATCTGTATAGTGCTCAGGTTTACTTGGTATTGGAGCATTTCATTGATTAGAGGCAAGTGTCAGTTGTCCCAATTGAAAATATATACTGGGCTTTTCGTCAAAACAAACAAACCTGTCAATATTAAGTGTGTGTTAACCGGAAGTTATGGAGCTACTGTAAACAGCCACTTAAAAGCCCTGGGCTTATATGATTTCGTAAGAGGTTTTGATTTGGCTTGTATCCAGGGGAGCTTATAAGCAGAACTTAAAATAACAGCATTTCAAAATGAGCCATAGCAACGTAGATCGAACTATGTTTTCATGTACTGGTTTTTAATTATTTTAAACTTAAAAACATCATTATCAATCAAATTCATTTTATTTAAAACTAGGGGGGAAGGGGTCTTATATCAGGGAGGCCTTATACCGGAAGTAATATTTTGTTTACAGGTAGATGGACCCATAACTGGAGGGGCAGTTTAGCGGCAAAACAATTAATTTATTCAAGATGGCCACCACATCAGTAAAAAAGGTCTATTTAGTGTTGTGAAGTTTAACTGTTTTGTTTTCATTACAGGTATCCTTGCAAGAGTAACAGAAGGAGATAAATCTGATATGCAAAAGTTAGGCTATGAGTATATCAGGTTAGTAATTAAGGACTTGAGCATCCATTATTTAAAGCATCAAAGTGGCTACGAGGCACTAAACTTGGAAAATGATTTGCGAAAGACTGAGAACTGATCTTTCCTGTAAATCCATACAAGTACAGCTGTAGGCCATTGGGTTCACTTCCAGGTAATTTTATTTGTAAGATGCTCATTTTTTACTTTTTGGGAGAACATGCTAATGTCTGAGCTATGTAACTGCAAAGCATGGTGGTCCTCAGGCAGGCAGGCTGGCTGGCTGGTCAAGTTATGTAAAATGTTCTGTTAAGGGGAGTGGGGAGGGGTAATTGTAATGAAAAAAAATCATGGAAGCTGCTTCTAGCCAAAAAAGAAATTTTAAAATTTAATTATAAATTTTTAATTCAAAAATACCAATATAACAAGAAAAGAAGATCATACAGAACTGACAAAGTTATATCTTGAGCATTCCGAGTCCAGAAGTAAATAAAATTCATGCTTTCTGACAGCTTCTTCATCTTTGGGGTAGCCCATCCATTGCCCTGTGTGGTAAAGTTTGACTGCTCCATCAATATAAAGTTGCGTATAATTTATAGCTGAGCTCTAAAAGGGCCGCCGAGCAGGGCCCCATACTCATGTAGACTGCAGATTGGGTACAAAATGCAGACTAAGGACAAAATGCAGACTAGGTACAAAATGCAGACTGAGAATATAGAGTTTTTTTTGTCAAATACATGATAGCATGACATTTTATAACTTGCTGAGTATCGTGCAGTCGCTTTTCCGTGGTTATCTTTAACAAAAATTTGTATTTTGGGGGATTATCTTTGGCCTGTTTCTTCATATATTTTGTTTTTAACAAAGCGTCAAGGTCATGTTAGTTCTGAAATAGAATTTGAAGCTGTCTTCTCGCATCGCATGTAAAGTCAGTAGTAATCCTAAATAACATGCAATATTCTAACCTGCAATCAGGCATTCTTTCTTTTTCGCAGCTAGGGAAAGGAGAAAAAAGAACGCCTGTTACAATTACAATGTACTTAACAAGTCCAGTGTTTACGCAAGAGCGCACCATTGCAGGTATCCCGCATTTAAATCAGAGATGGCCCCCAGAAAAACAAAAAAGGGCCAATTTGGCCCTTTCGTTTTACAAGACTGCAGGCTTAACACAGGCATAATATTTCAAAAGCCACCTCAGGGATCGAAATTGTGATCGATATGGTCGCCAATGCAACAAGCATTTCATCCTTGGCGACCAAAACTTCTGGTTTAGTCGCCATAATACGGCGTAATGGCAACTACATTTCTCTGTGTTGGCGATCAGTAATGGTTATTTTGTCACACATTATGTCCTTTTAGAAAATCATATTGAAAGATCTTTGCTTCTAAAACATTCAGCATAAGAAAAGAAGTCAATCTGTCCTTTTACTTTGCTTTATTATATGGCTGTGTCTCACAAGGACGGGGAACTACTGAATTCACGAATTTGATTGGCTGAAATCGATATTGACTGCGATCTAGATTTTCCCATTTAGACCGGCATCTAGACCGGTTTCATTTTGTGTTGAAAAAGTAGCAAACTAAAATACAAAAATGTTCACCACTTTCTTTTATTTTCTTCAGAATCATTTATGTAAGTGCCAAAAAGCCTGATGACAAAAAAAGTAAAGAGGACAAGCAAATTTTGGCAGGTTTAAGTTAAGCTCATCGCTGTTCGCAAGCAAAATGTCAGCAAACCAGTTACATTAACGAATTAAAGTTTTCTTCTTTGCCAGATAATAAACATCTTATTAACTGAACTAAGTCGCTCTGTATGGGAGAATCTTGACCTCAGTTGTGTGTACAGACTGAATGCAGTGAGGTCTGTACTCATAACCTGGGTCAAGATTCTCCCAGACAGACCTCCTGCTCAGTTAATAAGAGCTAAGTATTGATTCTCTCACCGTGGAAAACTTCCAAATGGTTGACTGTATTTGAAATCGCCCTATAATGCATTGCAAACCCTTGATCATTGACTATGTCATGTATGCCTAAGGATTGTTCTCTTGTAATGCATGGATCCTTCATACTAGTATCTGATTCAAAAGCAACTTTATTGAGTAGAAACACTTCAAAAAGCACTTACTATTAAATTTTAGTGTAGATCCTAATGAACTGCTTTATTTTTCTTGGTATCCTGATGCATTTTTTCCTTCTGTGGCTTTCAATTTATTGGCCCCTTTCCTAAAAAATTGGCTCCTAAAAAAGATCTTCAGGGGCCACCTTGACCCTCAAGTAGAATTTTCTGGCAAGCAAGAGTCTTTAGCCCAACTTCCCATTGGTTACGTAATTTCTGGTATAATTTCGAGCACGAAGCCTGATGGCTGCAGGCTAGGACTTCACAGCCTGGAGGCTGTGATCTTGAGTGGCTGTAACTTCGTCTCTTTAACATTTTATTCACAAATCGTTAAAGAGAGAGCAGATGAAATGTATCTGGATGATCTTCTGCTTAAAAGAAATAGTTTTAGCCATGCTTCCAATACGATTGAGCGTCATTTATCAATGGATTTGGAAAGTGTCAAAAAGATCTGCAGTTGATGCAGTTGTATGGAGGTCTCTCAAATATATCTGTTGTAATAGTTATTCCTGCACTTTTAAGACTTTTGTCACTTCCATTAAAAAGATTCTGATGTTCACCAAACGATGGACAGCAGCGCGCATTAGCAATATAAGCTTGCTTTGGGAGAACACCTATTGAATATTAATATATCCAAGTCACTATTTTTCATGAACACAATCTTTACAATGTTCACCTATTAATAAGGCTAAGAGCAATAAGGCTAACATCTATAATGCTGCGTAATACTATATTTTATTATTTTGTAGCGTTATAGATGTTAGCCTTATTGCTGCCGTTAAGTGAAGCTATTGTAGCTGACTTCGCACTTTCCGTTTGGAACTGCTGGTTGTTTCTTGACGGAAACAGAGACATTTCAACTTGCTGGAAAGTAAACACGTACATTGTACTTTGTCACTGTGGCGCTTCCAACCACCACATGAATTTCTGACAAAATCTGATTGGACATTTATAGCATGACACAATATAGCTGGGATGGTTCTGGGGGGTTGGACAAACCCACCCCGCTGCCAGAAAAGGTCCACTTAAATAAGCCAGCTTATACAGATTTCAAAGTTTACTTATCTCATCTGTAGCTAACTCAAACTATGTATATTTTCCAATACTTTTCTTTTTTTAATCTGCTTTTGATTAACCTATTTTTATAGCATGGTCTTACATATGTAATACATTTTCATTATGTAAATGAAATGGTTTTCTCAACGGTCATGCCTGGCCCTGCCTGGATCCGACCTTGACCCGCTGCAGGATATGGGGTACTAATGCTGAAATGCCCCAAATATCTTTGATGCAGTGTAATCACCCTAATGCTGAGAAGCAAACTCCCAAAGAGTGTTTTAAACGGAATGTTGTGAAAAAATTCCTGGTCGACTTCAGGTTACTAAGGTAATAATTAATACAACTAGTAAGAGCTATTTGGTCCATTTAAAGATAAAAAGAACCTACCTGTATCAAAACCAGTGTACAGACCTAACCATATGACAGGGAAGCAATGAAGGGGCTACAGGCGACTTGAGAGGTAAATGTATCAGTTGTTCTGTTTTTCCCTTCCCTCTTTCCCCCCCCCACCCCCCCCCCCCAAAAAAAATTCCTGAATGCAGGTTAGCAATATCAAAGAAACATGATCAATCAGTGTTCCTTTTGTAGCCAAATGCAGATTTATAGCCTGGAAACAGGCTCTTCATAGGGTCAAGAAATTAGGAAAGGAAAATGAAAAGACTTAAAGCAACACTGTTCCTTTTTCTTGATATCTTTTCAATCTTCAAGGGTGAACACACACTGATTGTTACATATTATTTAATAACTGTGTAGTTTCTAGTTACCAAATAGCGACAAGAAAAGTAAACAAACGACCAGTCATGAAAATGATGCTTCGCTTTTTCCCGTAAGAATTTGTCGATTGTTCTTCATTTGTATTTAAGATGTATTATATTACATGTGTAGGAATTTTAACTTACTTAATCCTCTTCATTCCCTGTGGGACAACAACAATCCCTCTCCATTTATCCCTATTTTTGACGTTCTTTAATTCTTTAATTTGCTACAAGATTCTTATTCACTTGATCGTAGATAACATTTCCATCATATTTATACACGCTATTTAATACTAGTATCTCTCACACGCAAAGTGTGAAGGCTTCAAAGGCTGTAAGGTTACTGTATACCTTCAGATCAGCAATTTTCTTCAAATTTGGATTTTTGGGTCAAAGTAATGGTCAAAGAGTAATCTCTTATTTCTGAAAAAAAAAAAAGAGAAAAACTAAACATTGGCAGAGAAATGCAGGTTTTAAGTTATGGTCGGAAGTAAAAGTTCCCTCTTGATTAACAGCCCTACAACGTGTATGCAATCAACTGAGATAACTTTGTGGGAATATTACCTATGTGGATACCACAAATTGGCTGGGTACTCAGTTGATCAGCATTGTTAATCCAAGCATTTTACATATGAGGTGTAATTCTATTAAGTTATAAGTAAGCATGAACCACGGAAAACTTGTGAACCAGTTCGAAAAAATGAAAACAGTGAAGAACGAATGAAAATACATCAATGAGTGAAGAAGCGAAAGTTGACCTTGCGGATGAAGCTATAGCTATTGTATCAAGCGGACAAAAAGATTGAGTCAAGAGAAGAGAAAGGTTCTGTAAACATTTAGGAATTTGACAGCAATAACAGCGATGTTTACAGTGACTCTTCTGTTGAGTCTGATACTGATGAATTGTTGGACTCTGTGAGATCCATTGGAGTATTATCCGAGCAGATTTGCCCCACCTCGCTTTCTTTTGTTTGTTTCTTCGCCCAGCCACTCTAGCGTTTGTATCCTTTTTGGTCTTCCCCATTTTGCCAGACCAGCTTCAAGAAAAACTGAGCTACAGAAAAATCCTCCCTCCACCTTGGGCACATTGTGAA